CCCCGCCGTTTCCAATTTTTACCTCTAGTCGAGGTCACGACCTCGAGGCCTGAACCACCACCCCGAGCCCTCGTGTTCTTTCCCGCTCCCCTTCGATTTCCGAAGCCAGCCGAGCCGAATTCAGTAGTGTTAGCCGACCAATATGCATTCATTCCGGGTTCGGGCTCGAGTAGCGAAAGTCGATGATACCCCAGCTTTTTTCGACTGGGTAATGTTCAAGGCTGCCAACTTTCTTCCAGCAGAAAGTTCCATTCTGAGCATTAAAGACCTATACGGGCATGGGGGAACAAACCTCGCCCTTGTTTTCAATTTCTACCTCCAGCCAAGGTCAGCTCTTCTTCAGTCAATAGCCTCATCGCCTCCGTTTCGCTAGGAACCTCCACACTACCAGTCATCGCAACTTGCCTCACAATCCGGCCGAGCCGACTTTTAGCAGTTGCCTGCTTAGTGTGTGTTCAGTATTACCGCGCCGTCAAAGCCAACAACAGATCACGATGAGATACAGTGCAAAGTGTGGTACTTTTGAGAGCGACAATTAACATAATTTCCAAAAAACAAATGTACAAATGCGGAATGGTAGCACTCAGAAAGATGGTGAACAAAAGCATAAGTTGTTACTTAGATATTTCGAATCGATCGCCACAGGGGCACGGATACACATACATCTCGGCATCTTCATCATACTCGAAGTCTTCAATTTCGATTTCATCATGGAAAACAGACATTGTTCGAATATTATCGACCAAATCCCGGGACCTCAAATTTTCAGAACGCCCCTGATCTCGTTCATTACTCGACCAGTCGAAAAGCTCAAACAAAGCAAATTTATGCCTGCATATAAAGAGCCAAAAATCACACTCTCCCAATCCCATCGTATGTTTACTTCATTTCGCAACCAACACAACGGAGGTAACAAGCTTCATGCTGCTGAGCAAGAAAACCCACACGCCCCCCCCCCCTCTCCCCTCCGCCGGAACCACCTCCGTTTCCAATTCCTGCCTCTAATTGAGGCTATTCCAGTCAGCAGCCTCGCCCCTCCCTCTTACCTCCTTCGGGACTTAAACCAGCACCTCCCCTCCTCGTCCCATCCTCCTGTCATCACCTTCGTCACCGCAACTCGACTCCTACTCATCGCAAATCGACACCGCAGCGGGCACAGTGCAGACCAACCGAGCTAAGGCATCTCAGTAGCTGCCAACCACGCAATCCTGTGGTAGCCCTCCTTGAGCGAACCGTCTTGGTAAGCGGGTACTCCTTTGCCGCCAGCAGGGAGCAAGAGTTCGGGATGCAAGGCGGTGCGCTTCAGGGCACAGGCCTCAGGTGTCCTGGAGTAC